GTTGCGACTTGCAACCCGACCCAAATCATAAAATACTGTTGCGGCGTGCAACCCGATCCATATCATATATCACTATTGCAGCATGCAACCCAATCAAATATAATATTGTTGCAACGTGCAACCCGATCCATATCATATATCACTATTGCAGCATGCAACCCAATCAAATATAATATTGTTGCAACGTGCAACCCGATCCCAATATACAATTCAACACCAATCACAAAAGAGTCCCGGCAAGGGAACAACAATATCCCGGCAAGGGAATCGATAGTAAGAAGTAAATACGTCCCAGTAAGGGAATCAACTATAACCAAACTTGTTCCAACATTTAACTTCACAAAAGAAACCTCAACTAGAACCAATACTCAACCATAAGCAATTTTCACGAGAATAATCATAATTCTTGCCCAACACAGAGAATCAACAACTTAGGCATTTGTAGTACTTATTAAGAACACAACGATTTCAATTTAAGACTTATGAGCATGCTTGACAACGACGTATAGATACTCGTCACCACACCTATACGTCGTACACTACCCTAGCACATAACAAATAAAGCACAATACATATTCCCTCAAGCTAAGGTTAGGCCAAACACTTACCTCGATGCCATGAACACAATTCAAGCCTCAATTACCGCTTTACCTCTTGTTTTCACTACCAACTCGCTTGTATCTAGCCACAATTTACTTAACGATATCAATAAATGCTAAATGAATCAACTCCAATGCATGAAAATAGGTTTTATAAAGTTTTCCCCAAAAGTCAAAAATCGACCCTGGGCCCGCTTGGTCCAAACCCGAAATTCGGACCAAAACCCGATCACCCATTCACCCCCGAGCCCGGATATATAATTGTTTTGGAATCAGACCTCAATTTGAGGTCTAAATCCCCAAATTTTAACATTCTTAGGTTTTACCCAAAATCCCCAATTCCACCATGAGAACCCTAGATTTTAGGATGAAATCTTGTTAAAAGAAGTTAAGGAGTTAAAGAAATAAGTTAGAAATCACTTACTAGTGTTTTGGAGAAGAAAGAGTGTTTGGAAAATCGCCTCTTACGTTTTAGGGTTTTTGAAAATTGAAAAATAACTGAAAAGTCCGTTTAAATATACTCATTTCAGACCTCTTTCGCGGACCGCACAAAAAGGACTACGGCCGCGGAGCTCCACCGCGGACCACTAGAAAGCGAGTGCGGCCGCAAGTTCCCCTCCGCGGTCGCAAGAAATCACTGCGGACCGCACAGGCTAGTTTAGAGACCTGCAACTTCTCTGAATCTGCAACAACTATGTTCTAAGTCTAAATTCACTCCGTGGCCCATCCAAAACTCACCCGAGCCCTCAGTGCTCCAAACCAAACATGCACGCAACTCCAAAAATATCATATGGACTTATTCGTGTGATCAAATCATCTAACTAACATGTAAAACTATGAATTAAACTTCAAAACTTATCATTTTCATCAAGAACACTTAAAGTTCATAACTCTTCAATCGGAGGTCCAAATCACGTCAAACAAACTCCATTTTCCACCAAATTTCATAGTTATCATTTAGATTCTTTAACAACTTTGTACCGGGATCCGAAACCAAAATATCGGCCCGATACCAATGGTTTGAAACATTAATTCTATTCTTTATTTCATAATTAATTCAGCAAAACAATTTCTTTCAAAAATTGATTTTTAAGGTTTGGGACCTTGGAATTCACTTTCGGGCATACGTTCAAGTCTCATATTTTACTGCGGACCTCCCGGGATCGTCGGAACATAGATCCAAGTCCTTTTGCTCAAAATGTTGACCAAAGTCAATCATGATCAAATTTTAATTCTAGAAATGTCTATTTCTCATATTTTTCACATAAAATCTTTTCGGATATACACCCGAACCACGCACGTAAATCGAGGTGAGGTAAAAAGGAGGTTTTAAGGCCTCAGAACACAGGATTTGTTTCTAAAACAAGTGATGACCTGAAAGGTAATCACAGTTTTACTACTGTTGGAAAGAGAATGCTGCTGAAATAGACCATTGTAGTGTTTACTTTGGCGGACAGAGTAGTTCTCCTTTGGGTTCTTTTTGTTGAATATATCTTTTATTAATTTGCTTATTGTTTGTCCGGGTTTTGGATGTCTGTCAAACTGCAGGACATCAAACAATAGAATGATATAGTAATGGTGACAAAAAGTGCAATTCATTTTAAATTTTAATGTTATTCAGTAGGAAAAGAAAAATCTTTCAGTAGATGAGTGATTTATATTTCTTATGTTTCTTTCTGAAGAGGGGATAAAAGTTCTACTGTCAACCTTGTTAGTTGGTGCATGATAATTATTGATTGTTTCTTGTTTATTCTTTGTTCTTCCAAATTTTGTGGTGATTTATAGGGTTTTGTTTCTGCATTCTACTTCCTTGCTATAATTATACTTAATATTTTAGGAAAATTTCGTTTCTCATATGTTAACAAAAGGCTTCTGCTTTGCTATACAAGACTTTAGCATGCATATAATCCTCTTATATATAAAAGTGGACAGAGAATAAGCACACAAAAAGATGATTAGTAGTTCCTAAGTTAAGTTGGAGAAATTAGTGCATATTCCTCTTAATTTCCTCATCGTTTCCCTTTAACATTGGGAGTAACTAAATTATTGATGCATGTCAACCTCGATGTTGTTACCCTTAAAACTCACAGAAACACAGATGCCATATATGTAGGGGTAGAACCACAAGGTGAGGTTTAGGTTCGGCCAAACCGAGTAATTTTAGTCCAAATCGAGTAACTTTAGTCCTAATCGAGTAATTTCAGTCTGAGTTGGTTCACTTTAGTAGTCACTCTACTACGTGCCCAGTTCATTAATTTAACGGTATGGATTGTGTAAGTTGCGAATATAAATAATAGAATACTAGTCTTGTCTAAATTGTTGCATCATATGGCTTTTGATAGTGTAAATTGTATTTTACGGCTTTAATTACATTGCTTTCACTTACCAACTATATACCCTGTCTTGTCTCATTTTTAAAGAACAAACTAGAAAAAGAAAATTGGAGAAGCCACTAGAAAATGGAAATACAAACCTAACGAGTGAAAATCAAATATGCCTAAACTTCACATAGTTCAGTAGTATGACGAAGAAGTGAAAGTAATACCCAAAGTTCCTAACTAAATTGTTGCCTAAATAAATGCAAAGAGAGAAAAACAATGCAAAAGAAGGTCAAGAGTATAGTTGTAAACAAGCATTTTACTTTAAAATTTATATAATGTATATCAATTTCTAATACAACAAACCAAACATCCAAAAAAATAATTTTTGCATAACTAACCCCTGCATTATTTATCCCTCCATAACTAACTCATGCATAACTAATACCTATATAACTAATACCTGCATAACTCTAACTGGTAACCAAACGACCCCTAACTTCTTAAGAATAAAGTAATAGTTGTTGACAGCTGTACACTAACCCACTAAATAACTTCTAACCATCTAACTTTTACAATATACATACTTCTCAAGACTCCCCCTCAAGCTGAGAGATGGAAGAGGTTCTTCATTCCCAACTTGCCAATCAAGTACTCATGTTGTGATTTGCATAGACTCTTAGTAAGCATATCAACAGGTTGTTCCTTAGTCCTAATATGTTGAGTCTGAATTTGACCACCCTGAATTTTTTCCCTCACAAAATGACAATCAATGTCAAAGTGTTTTGTCCTCTCATGAAATATGGGATGTGCTGCAATCTGTATAGCAACTTTGTTATCATATAACAACTCCACAGGAGTGTTCACTGTAAGTCCTAGCTCTCTAAACAAGCTAATTAGCCAAGTGACCTCAACAACAGTAGCTGCCATGCTTCTGAATTCTGATTCAGCAGAACTCCTAGAAACTATGCTTTGCTTCTTGGATTTCCAAGAGATTAAAGCTCCACCTAACTTAACTATATAACCAGTGATAGACTTCCTTGTCTCCACACGTGATCCCCAATCTGAATCATAGTAGGCAACTAGTTGCTTATCATATTTTGCTGGCATAAACAGTTCCAGTCCTGCAGTTCCCTTGACATACTTAAGCACTCGTACAACTCCTTCCATATGGACTGCTTGGAAGCATGCATGTGTTGACTAAGTACTTGAACAACAAAGGCAATATTTGTCCTTGTCGTTGTCAAGTATATATATCTGCCTACCAATCTCTAATAGCTACTTGGATCCTCAAGCTGTGCATTTTTAGAGGCTTCTCCCTTGTTCATGAATTTGTCAAATGCTACTGAGGTGAGTTTGTGATTGAACTCAAGAGGGGCAGCAACAGGCTTTCCACCAGCTAATCCCAGCTCAGATACTAACTCAAGAGCATATTTCCTTTGATTCATAAGGATTCCTTCTTTAGATCTGGAGAACTCAATTCCCAGAAAGAATTTTAATTCTCCCAAGTCCTTCATTTTGAACTTAGCTTGCAAATATGTCCTCACCTGATGAATGAGCTCCAAGTTATTCCCAGTAACCAGAAGGTCATCAACATATACCAAAATTACTACCAAATCACCACCTACCCTCTGTGTGAAAAGAGAGTAATCATAATGAGACTGTACAAATCCCATATCCTTCAGAGCAGAAGTCAACTTCAGGTTCCACTATCTAGGAGTCTGCTTTAGTCCATACAAGGACTAATGCAATCTACAGACTTTTTGATGACACTCCCCCTGGCTGGCAAAACCATCTAGGATCTTTATATAGACCTCTTCAAGAAGATCTCCTTGAAGAAATGCATTGTGCACATCTATTTGAAAGATAAACCAACCAGATGTTGCAGCCAAAGCCATTACAGATCTCATTGTCACCATTTTGTTCACGAGAGAGAAAGTCTCTTTGTAATCCAAACCTTCAAACTGACTATACCCCTTAGCAACTAGTCGAGCCTTACACCTCTCTACCTCCCCAGTGGACTTAATATCCACTTGCAACCAATGGGATCCTTGCCAGGAGGCAGGTCCACAATGGACCAAGTCTAGTTCTCCTCAAGGGCAACAATCCCAGCCCGCATGGCTTCTATCCACTTAGGATCAGTACTTGCCTCAACATAGGAGGTAGGCTCAGACACAGCTGAGTAGGCAGTAAGACATGCCTGATAGGCAGGAGACAACTTATCATAGCAAACATAATTGGAAATGGAGTAATTGCAGACTGCTCCTTTGGAGGGTAACACATAGTCTTTTAACCATATAGGAGGAACATAAGTCCTAGATGATTTCCTAATAGGAGGTGGATCAGCAGCAGTGGATGAGCTTAACTGTGGATGATGATCAGGAACTAGTTGACTAGGATCAATTAATTGACTATAGACAGAAGGAAGTGATTCAGTTATAGGGTTTCCAGGAGTAGGAATGCAATTGAGAGAGGAGCAATCGGCTTCTGAAAGGTCCAAAATAGGAAATAAAGGAGAAGAGTTGGATGTAACATGCTTAAAGGAAAAAACATTCTCCTTGGAGACAGTGTCCCTGCTTACAAAGATCAATTTAGAGTGGAGATCATATAAAATATATCCTTTTTGCATAGAAGAATAGCCTAGATGTACAACAGAAATGGCCTTGGGACTAAATTTATCTACTTTTCTAGCTGAGGAGGCATAACACATGCTACCAAAGACTCTCAAGTGCTGAAGAGATGGAACCTTGTTATAGAGTTTCTCAAAAGGAGAGGCTCCCTTCAATAAGATTGTAGGCAATCTATTCAGAAGATAGACTGCTGTAGAAACACACTCACCCTAGAACTGGAGTGGAACAAATGCTTGAAATCTCAAGGCTCTTGCCATATTAAGAATAGACCTGTGTTTTCTCTCAACTATACCATTTTGAGGTGTGTATATACAGGAACTCTGATGAATAATTCCATACAACACCAAGAAACTACTGACCTGCTCATTGAAGAACTCAATACCATTGCCAGACCTAAGACACTTAACCTTGCTATCAAATTGAGTCTGAACTAGTGTTAAAAACATTTTCAGCACAACAATAGATTCTGCTTTAGTGTTCATTAAGAAGAGCCATGTGTACTTAGAGAAATCATCTACCAATGTCATAAAGTATCTTTTACCATCATGAGTTGGAACCCTATATGGTCCCCAGACATCAGTATGCACAATTTCAAAAGGATGAGTAGAACAAGAAGTACTGTGAAGAAATGGCAATCTAGATTGCTTAGCAATAGGACACACTGTATAATGGTGATCTTGCATAGGAATATGAGGTAAACTACTAATCTTTTGTAGAACTTTCATAGGTGCATGCCCTAGTCTCTTGTTCCACAAAGACATAATACAATTCTCAGTAGACTTAGTATGGATTGCCTTATTGTTACTAAAATTAGAGACAGTATTTACAGAAGATACTAGACTGGTACTTTGCTTTGCATCCTGAAACTGCACTGAGTCCTTAGAGATATCTGGCTTCAGAATATAGAGCCCAAACTCTTCCTTACCAATCCACATTACCTTCACACTCAAGAGATCCTAAAAAAAGAAAGAAATCAGGAAAAAATTCAACAAGGCATCTCAATTCCTTTGTAAGCTTTGAGACTAAAAGCAATATGTATTTGAAGTCTGGAATGTATAAGACATTCTGTAATGATTTAGTTTTGAAGATTTTGGAAACACCAGTATGACTGATAGCAATCTGCTCACCATTAGGAAGATGGACCTTGTTGCTATCTATACTGTCAGATCCTTGATTTCAATTAGTAGCTTGGAATTATGTACCATATGATTAGAGGCTCATGTGTCTACTATCCAGTTACTATTGACTAGATGAGACATGAAGGCTTTTATAGTACTTGTGTTATTCATAGTTGCTGCATTTGCCATAGATTCTACTTGCTTTCCTTTGCTCAGTATATGCAGAATCTGATCATATTATTTTTGAGTAAACGCTGGAGCAGGTGAGGAAAATTGAGGAGTAGGTTGAGGAGGATCAGGAGTTTGGAATCCTCGAGAAGTGAATGCATTGTTCACCTCAGGACCTGAATAACCTCTTCTCTTGGCCTTAAAATCAACAGGATATCCATGGAGCTTATAACAAGTATCATTGGTATGACCTTTTAGGTGAAAGTAGTCACATTCTAGTGTAGACCTCCCTAGATTGTTTCTAGGTTTGAAACCACTATTTCCATTCCCAGAGTTAGCCTTACTCATCAGTGCTGCAGAATACCAATGCCAATACTTAAGGCTGTATTGTTTCTCCTTTGTCTCTCAACATTAACCATCATAGCATAAGCTTGGTTAACATTTGAAAGTGGCCGAATCATAAAAATCTGATCTTTAGCATTATTAAAGGAGTCATTTAGACCAGTCAAAAACTGATACAATTTCTGTAGTTTATAGTGTTCTGTATGCTGCTTGGAATCAGGGCATCCACATGAGGGAGGAGGAGCTAAGGCTTCATATTCATCCTGTAACTCTCTAAGTTTTGAAAAATATTCAGATACAATTAGCAGATTTTGAGTTAGCTTTGCAATTTCCTTGTGAAGATAGAATGATCTAGAAGCATTTACTTTATCAAATCTCTCACGAAGATCTTCCCAGATATTGTGTGCATTAGAGGCATAGATCACAATACTCATTAAATTTGGAGCTACAGTGTTCATTATCCATGCCAAAACAATAGCATTATATCGATCCCAGAGTTCATGAAGACTCACATCATATAACTCTTTCCTACAGGTTCCTAGCATAAAACCTAACTTGTTTTTGCCATGCAACACAATTTTCATAGATCTACTCCAAAGAGAATAGTGTTTTGAGCCTCGAAGTTGAATCGAGATGAGAACATCACCGTGAGTATCAGAAGGATGAATATACAGAGGATGATTGTGATGAACTAAGTCAAGGTTCTGAGAATCTGATGGTGACGATGTAACAGTGGTCGAAGTAGATTCATTTTCATTAATTGCCATAGCAACTTCTTAGATTTGTAAATTGAAGAGAATTACTCACTCAAATTGTTGCAGAAATTCAGAAAAGTTGTTGAAATTGCTCAAAAACAGCAAACCCTAGCTTGAAGAGGAAGTTGTATCTTCAGCTGTAATTTGAAGCAGATGGAGCAATTCTGGATTCAACTAGCTTAATCGTACCTTCTCCTCACTTGTCCGCTATTGATGAACTCGCCGGAATTGAGCCGTGCCCTGATACCTTATTAAAGAGACACTACCATCGGAGAGACAGACATAGAGCAGAGGAGGAAGAAGGAAGAAAGAAAGCTGAGGAAATATCGAATATTATTTTAGAATGTACTGTACATGTGTATATATATACATAACTAACCACTAACTTCTTAAGAATAAAATAATAGTTGTACACTAACCCACTAACTAACTTCTAACCACCTAACTAACCGCTACAATGTACATACTTCTCAACAATAATTGAAGGAATAGACAATGTGACTTGACACCTCTCTTTGCCCAAGGATTCAATTTGTCTTTTTTCTCCTTTTTATTTTTGCTTTTCTTCCTTCATTCTTTTCATTTAATTTGTTTAATAACTGGAAATTGATCATTTAGTACATCTCATTATAGCTATTTCAGTTACAAAATAATTAATTAAAATACTAAGAAAATGTAGTAACAAACAAGACTGCAAGAGTAAAGTCACAACATTAATCTGGAAAATGCAAAAAAGGGAATGAAAAACGCATTATTTTCATTAATCTGGAAAATGGAGAGACTCCACTTAATTATTGAATTTGAAAAGGTCCTTCAATTAAGCCTTGAAATTCTCTCTATACATATCCACAATCATATCCTTCAGCTTGCTTTTGTATGTGTAAGTAGATTTCATGCCTTTTTGTTTTCAATTAAATGCTTTATGTATAGGTTTTTTTTTCTACTAGAAATAATGGTAATCTCATGTTTTCTTATAGGTGCAAGGTGTGGATATATTTCTATTGGCGTCTTCTTAATTTAGAGGGTGTTTGGTTAAGCCTGTAAGTTGGCCAAATTAGCTTATAATCACTTTTCGGCTTAATTACGCGTTTGGTAAAGTTAAAAGTGCTTATAAGCCAAGTGCTTATATGTCAAAAATAAGACAAAAGCCATAAGCTTATGAATTTTTAGCTTATAAACACTTTAAGTTTGACCAAGAGTTTTACTATTTTATCCTTAAAATATTCCTTTTTAGAACAAAACTCCTACATCGATAATTACTTCTTATTTAAGATAAGCAATTCTCATTGACTATTTAAGATAAGCAAATCCTCTATTCCTTTGCATATTTATATCAATGAAATTTTGTATTAATCTTTTAACTGTATGTAATAAATGAGGGTACATCAAATTTTTGGTGTATTGCTTTCTAAGTGTTGTGATGATGAAGACAATGTTGGTTTCTTTTCAAATATTTTGTCCTATTTAGGTTTATCTTTTACTGAAAAACTTTTGTCAATTTACTAATTATTATAACTTAAGATTATGTGCTTATCATAAAATAAATTATATTTATCATAAAAATTATCTTATCTAAGCACAATTGTATTTAAAATAAAATGACAAATAGAATATTTTATATTTGAATCGATCTGGAATCTAAAATTTTGAAGAAATTACATGTAAGTCCTTTTAATAGAAAAAGAGCTTATCAACACTTTTTTTATCAAATACTGCAACAACTTATTATCAATTTCAGCACTTGCATCCAAACATGTAACTGCTTATTTATTAAATCAATTTCATCACTTAAAAGTACATTTCAGCACCTAATGCTTATCAGCTACTTCAAATCAGCTAATCCAAACGGGCTCTTAGTAGTTCACTCTTGATGTGCTTCAATTGTGCCACTATGACATTCTTTATATACTTGATCAAATGGCGAGACATTATGTACAAGTGCAGTGTAAGAAATTTTTATTTTGAGCAAACGGACCCGGATTCTTGATTTGACGGTCCCGGAGGGTTCGAGGGAAAATATGGGTCCTAGGCGTATGTCCGGAATCGAATTCCCAGGTCCCTAGCCCGAGTAATGAATTTTTATTAGAAATTGTTAATCTGAAGTTTTAAGGATTTAAAGAAACTAATTAATGATTGATTTCATAGGTATCATGCTCGTATGTTGGTTCTGAAGCCCGTTACAGGTCCGAAATATCATTTAAGACTTGCCTGTAAAATTTGGAGTCAATCTGAGTAGTTTAAGGGCGTTTTGGCTGGTTAGAGAAAAATTAAGAACTTGAAGTTCATAAGTTTGATTCATTTGGTTGTAGGGGTGATTCCTAGATTTAGCTTTGTTTCGGTGTTCCGAAGGTTCGAGTAGGTCTGTCTCATGATTTCAGACTTGTCGGTATGTTCGGGCGGGACCCGGGAGCTCCGAGCGTCAATCGGACGAGGCTCGAGTGAAGTGGAAATGTTTGAGAAGAGCTGAAGCTGCTGCTTCTGTCATAACCGCACCTGCGGTTGGTGGACCGTGAGTGCGAGACCGCAGAAGCGGTCCTTTCATCGCAGATGCGGCCTAGGGCAGGGCAGGCCAGGCCGGGAACCGCAGAAGCGGCTCCGCAGATGCGGCCTCAAGACCGCAGAAGCGGTCCCAACCATTTTAGCCCCTTTCGCAGATGCGGTCCTTTTCTCGCAGATGCGGGACCGCAGATACGGTCCCATGCCGCAGATGCGGAAATCGCTGAGGCAGTGAGGTTCATTTAATATGGGTTCTAAGTAATTTTTATCACTTTTTCACTTTTCCATCGGCGATTTTAGAGCTTTTGAGAGAAGATCTTCACCTAGCATCTTGAGGTAAGTGTGTTCTACTTATTTCTAGTTTAATGATTTTGTCTTGGGTAGATTAGACACTAGTATTAATGTGAAATCATGGGGTTAGAGCAAAAACCTAGAGTTTTAGTAAAAGTTAGATTTAACTATGAAATTTGCTATGGAAGAAATTAGAAATCATATATTATCGATCCTTAGGTTATAGAGAACAACTTCCTTCGAAAAATTTCGGAATCCGGGCACGTGGGTCTGGGGTCGGATTTTAGGAAACTTGTGTTAAAGGTTGAAAAATTGCTTAAATAGCTAGAATTCGATCTTGTGAATCTATATTGACTAGTTCTTACCTCATTTAACTAGTTTGGGATCGTTTAGCTCCGAATTGAGGGCTTGGACTCGTTCTTGGCATTGGAAGTGCCCTTTGGAGCGAGGTAAGTCTTCTTTCTAACCTTGTAAGAGGGAATTGTCCCCATAGGTGCAATAATTGAGTAATTTGCTACTAAATGCGGGGGCTACGTATGCACTAGGTGACGAGAGTCTGTGCGTAGCTACTATTAGGTTAATTGTCCGGGTAGTGTAGGACCCAAATCATGCTATATAGTGAATATCTCTATGTTTTCTGCTAATGTGATCACTTAGGGTATGCTAGAGACTTGGAAAGGAAAAATGGTGAGCATATATACTTGTTGAACCCTTGAATGATTTTATTTGAATATAAATGCGCTTTATGTGTTTTTTGATATTAATTGATATTTATGGATCGGGCCGATTGCCTCAGTATGAATAGATGCATCTATGGTTCGCGCCATTCGACCCTTTGGCAGTGCACAGTTTATTTTTCTGTTGGATCGGGCCGTCAACCTCGGCATAGTGTGCGCATGATATCTATGTGAAATCTTATCCATAACTTGACCGGCTAAATATTTGAAATGTAAACGGCTAATTGTAAAATTGTTAAGAACATGACATATTGCCTTTTGCTATAAACTGTTGATTATTTGTGACTTCCATTCTTAGTGTAACTCTACATTGTATTATTGTGACGACCCAAAGGGTCATCACCTGTTTTCTTACCCATTATATGCTCCCGAGGCCTTGAAAACCTCATTTAGAGTCGCCTTGATTTGCGTGCGCAGTTCGGGTGCATAGCCAGAAAGCTTAAATATGAAATTTTGTGAAAAATGCTAAGTTTTGATGTTAAAATGAATAAATTTGACTCCGGTCAACATTTTGGGTAAACGGACCTAGACCTGTGATTTGACGATCCCGGAGGGTTCGTAGGAAACTATGGGACTCGGGCGTATGCCCGGAATCGGAAACCGAGGTCCCTAGCCCGAGAAGTGAATTTTTTTAAGGAAATTGTTTTTCTGAAAATGCCTAAGGAAATTGAAATGAAATTTGATTAGAACGAGTTGGTATCGGGCCCGTATTTTGGTTCCGGCATCC